TTTCCTAATGTCCAATCTGCACTTCCCCTGACAGAGCTTCATTCCATTTCCTTGTGTCCTATGGCTGGTCACCAGAGAGAGATCAGCACCTCGCCCTCCACTGCCCCCCTTGAGGAAGGTGTAGACTGCGATGAGGTCATCCCTCAGCGATGACGTCACATCTCATGCTTCTCTTTTCCAAGCTGAACAGCTCTTTCAGTACCCTGGGATGAATCCCATTGGGCACCATAGATTTGTGTGCATCCAGCTGGAGCAGCAAGTCTCGAACAAGTTCAGAGTTGGCTGGGAATTTATCGTCCTTCCAGTCTTCCAACCCAAGGCCCCGAGGGTCCCAGGGCCCATCACCAGTGTTAAGGACAGAGGCGAAGAAGGCATTAAACTTCTCTGCTTTGTCTGTGTCCCTATTTGTGAGGTTCCTGACCTTATCAGTGTTATCTCAGGTCCTCCTTTTGCTGTTAGCATGTTTAAAAAAGCCCTTTTTGTTGTCCTTCATAGTGCTGGCTGGCTTGAACTCTTAATTGAGCTTGGTCACATGAATTTTCTGCCTACAGTGGCAAACAGCATCTTTGTCTTCCTCCTATGTCACCTGCCCTTGCTTCCAATGTCCGTGCACTTTCCTTTTCCGCCTAAGTTCTAGAACAAGATCCCTGCTCAGCCAAGCTGGCCTTCTTCCCCACTTGCATGACTTCTGACACTTTGGAATTGCCTGCTCCTGCACTCTTAAGAAATGGCTCTTGAAAAGCGACCAGCATGGAAGTGTTCAAGGCCAGGTTGGATGAGGCTTTGAGCAACCTAATCTAGCAGATGTCCCTGCCCACGGCAGGGGGGTTGGAACTGGATGATCTTTAAGGTCCCTTCCAACCCAAACCATTCTATGATTCATGGACACCAATACCTTCAAAAGCAGATTCCCAGAGGACGTTACTGACTAGCTCCAGCAGCCCGAAGTCTGCTCTCCCCATATCCAGCACTGAAGTTTTGCTGGAAGTTTTTCTCCTATCACCAACAATTTGAAACTCAACTACTTCGTGGTCACCGAGACCAAGCCAGCCACCAACCACCACTTTGCGCACGAGTCCCTCTCTGCTTACAAACTACAAATCTAGGAGGGCACCGTTCCTAATCAGCTCCCTCAGTACGTGCACTAAGAAGTTGTCTTCAACATGCTTAGACATTTCCTGGACCTGTTTGTGTCCGCTGTATAATACGCCCAGTTGATGTCCAGGAATTTAAAATCACCCATAAGGCCAAGGGCAGTGGATCTAGAGGTATCTTTTAATTCCTTGTAGAACAACTCATCAGTGTCGCTGCCTTGGCTGGGTGGTTGATAGTAGACTCCCACAACAATATCCATTAATATTTATATATTAAAAAAAGTGTAACTTTTTACTGCCCCAAACAATTCTGGCTACTAGTTATAGGTAGAATCCTCACAGGGCAAAAGTCAAGCACCTCCAGTGGGCCATCCTTGGCAATTAGCCACTTGTTTCATACACGATTGCGTTGCACAGAAGCAATAGTTATGGGATGCTGTGGTACCAAAGGGAAGACTCAATACACATCCGAAAGAAAATCTGTTCTTAGTCAGACCAGAGGGAATGCACTTAGAGTAGGGGACTGCTGGGAGCAGCAATAGCGTCTGAGAGTCGTTCTCTATGGACTGACAAATTTTACACACCTGCTCAGCCAGGGTTTTCCTGTTCCCAATTTTATATCCTTTTAACTTTATGCTTACTTCTTATGTTTCCCTAGTGCAGTTCGACATGATGCGTGCTTGTAACCTCATCGCCACTGTTGCTCTGACTGCTGGCCAGCTCATCTTCATCCTGGGCCTGATGGAGCTACCTATCATTTCTCAGGATACCCAGTGGTGGGAGGAGGCCATAGCTGCCGTGTTCCAACTTGCCAGTAAGTCCACTTCTTTTTACTGATGAAAAAATACTTGGTCTTTATTATATCCAGGTGGAAAAGAGTTTCTTGCTTTGTAAATCTTTCCAGTGACAAAGAATAGCAAAAAGGCCTAAATCTAAAAGTAAGCTCATTGTCTCTTAAAAGCTCTCCCCATGAGATTCTGCAGTACATGAATAGAAGCTTTTATCTTGGATATATCAGAATGAGTCTTCTGCCAACCAAGAAAAACAAGCCTTTATTATTTCCTATGAAACCAGGAAGGCAAACATGA